CAGAAGAATGTTTGACAAAAAACAACTGAGGGCCGCATTAAATATGTGTATATGTATGTGCATGTGTGTTTGTAAGAAGGATTGACCATCCACTTCCTAAATAACAGGCCTGCGAAAACCCCCTATGTTCAATAGAACAAACTTAGACTAATAGAAAAAGTGAGGTGGAGCTTTCAAATATAGAATTACAGAGGAAGAAGAACAGTTGTAAGCAGACACTAGTGATTGGAACATGGAATGTAACAACCACGAATGTAGGAAAATTAGATATTTTTAAGGAATAAATGGAACACATAAATATTGACCTTCTAGGTATTGCCAAGATGAGATGGACTGGCATGGGGAATTTTCAGTCAGATGATCATATAATCTGTTACAGAGGAGATAAAAAGGTAAGGAAAAAATGGGGTTGCTTTCATAGTCTTGAAATACAATATTGTGAGCGATAGGATGATATCCACACGCACACAAGGAAGTCCAATAAATACCACTATCATTCGGATATATGTACCAAGAACCAGAGTCAAAGAAGAGGAAATAGAAGATTTCTACCAAGTTTTGCACTCAGGTCAATCAAACATGCAATCAAGATGCATTAATAATAATGAATGACTGGAATGCAAAAGGTGGGAACAGAAGAAGAAAGATCAGTAGTAGGAAAACATGGACTTGGAGATAGAAATGAAGCTGGAGATAGAATGATTGAATTTTGCACAATCAATGACTTGTTAATTTAAAATACTTTTTATAAGAAACATAAACACAGGATAAACACATGGATTTTACCTGATGGTATGCATAGAAATACGATGGATTACATAGTGGAAAGAACTTTTGAAGAAGCTCAATATCAGCTGTGAAAACTAGGCCTGGTGCTGATTATGGAAAAGAACACCAACTACTCACATGTAAGTTCAAACTGAAATTAAGGAAAATGAAATCAAATCCACGGCAACCAATATATGACCTTGAGTCTATCCCACCTGAATTTCAAAACCATCTCAGGAACAGGTTTGAGGACTTTAACACCAATGAGCAACGACCAGATGAGTTATGGGATGATACCTATATTATCATCCAGGAAGAGTGCAGAAGGTCATTACAAAGACAAAGGAGGAAGAAAAGACCAAAATGGATGTCAGAAGAGACTCTGAATATTACACTAGAGCACTGAGAAGCCAAACCAGAAGGAAGAATTCAAGATATTGAAGAGCTGAACAGAAGATTTCAAAAGGCAGCACTAGAAGACAAAGTATTAAAATGAAATGTGCAAAGAGCTGGAGTCAGAAAATCAAAAAGGCTGAACTCACTCAGCATTTCTCAAGCTGATGAAACTGAAAAAAATTCAAACCCTGAATTGCAATAGGTAGAAATGATCCAGGAAGTATTAAAAGAACATGGAGAGTATACAGCATTATTGTACCAAAAGGAATTGGCAAACACAGAAGAATTTCATGAAACAACGTATGAGCAAGAGCCTATGGTGATGCAGGAAGAAGATCAAGCTGCTTTGAAAGAATTGGGGGGGGGGGAAGGCCCCAGGAACTGATGGTATACCAATTGGCATATTTCAACTAACAGATGCTGCCCTAGATATGCTCATCAATTTGTGTCAAGAAATCTGAGGACAAAAAAAAAAAGAAAAAAAGAAATCTGAGGACAACCAGTTGGCCTACTGGCTGGAAGAGATCTATATGTGTTCCCATTCCAAAGAAAGATGACCCAAAGAGTGTAGAAATTATTCAACAATATCATTAATATCACATGCAAGCAAGATTCTGCTGAAGATTATAAAAAAAAAATGACTAGAACAGCATATCAACAGAGAACTACCAGAAGTGCAGGCTGAGCTTAGAAGGGATTGTGTTAGGATATTGTAGCTAATGTTAGATGGATCTTGGTTGAAAGGAGGGAATGCCAGAGGAATATCTATCTGTATTTCATTGATTATGCAAAGGCATTTGACTGTGTGGATCACAACAAATTATGGCTAACTCTGAGAAGAATGGGAATCCCAGAACACTTGATCATTCTAATGTGAAACGGTCAAATACTTAGAAGCTCACAACCTACCCAAATTGACACATACTGAATTAGAGCATCTGAACAGACCCCTTACAAAAGAAGAAACTGAAGAGGTAATAAAACAATTTCTAAAAGCAAATAAAAGCTTTTGACCATATAGTTACTTGTGAATTTTATAATTCAGAGAAGTATTGTCACTAATTCTCCATAAATTATTGCAGAAAATAGAAAAAGATGGAATTCTCCCAGACTCATTCTATGAAACAAACATATCTTTGATACCAAAGTTAGGTAAAGACAACACCAAATACAAAACTATAGATGCATTATCTCTCATGAACATAGAGGCAAAAATCCTGGCCGATAGAATCTAACAGTACATAAAAAATTTAATACACCATGACCAAGAAAGATTCAAACAGAATGGTTCAACACAAGGAAAACAACCAATGTATTTCATCAGACTAAGAAAGAAAAGAATAAGAACCACATGACTCTATCAATTAATGTAGAAAAGGCCCTTGACAAAATCCAACACCCTTTCCAAATTAAAACACTCAACAGAATAGGAAGAGGGGAATTTTTTCCACATAATGAAGAGTATATACACTAAACCAAGGCCCAAAGCCATTCTCAATGTAGAGAAAATAAAGGTATCCCCTTTGAGAACAGGAACTAGGCAAAGATTCTCATTATCACCTCTCCTATTCAATATTGTGTTGGAAGTCTTAGCAAGAACAATAAGACAAGAGAAGGAAATAAGAAGTATTTAAATTGGCAAAGAGGAGGTAAACCTCTATATGCAGATGCTGTGATAGTACAGGTAAAAATGTTAAAAACTCAGTGCAAAAACTCCAGGATATAATTCACCAGTTCTGGCAAGTAGCAGGATACAAGAACAACATAAAAAAAATCAGTTGCATTTATCTACAGTGACAAAGAGAATACACAAAAGGACCTAAGAAAAACAATCCCCATTACAAAAGCTAATCATAAGAGTAAATACTTGGGAGTAAATCAAACTGGAAATGCGAAAGACCTGTACTAAAAAAATTACAAAACATTACAAGAAGCAAAAACAAACTTGAAGAAATGAAAGAACACACCAAGCTTTTGCATAGGAAGACTCAATATTACGAAAATGACAATTTCACCAAAGGCAATCTACAAGTTCAATGTAATTCCAATACAGATACCAATGCCATTCTTCAATGAGATATAAAACGCACTTTTCAATTTTATCTGCAATAGAAAGAGACCCCAAATAAGTAAAGCTCTCCTGGAAAAGAGAAACAAGGTAGGTGGAATCACACTCTAATTTCAAATCCTACTACACAGTCATGGCGGTCAAGACAGCATGTCACTGATTCAGTGATAGACACATAGATCAACTGAATAGAATTGAGAACTCAGAAATCAGATCGTCAACGTATGGTCAACTGATTTTTGACACAGACAGAAAATCAGTTAAGTGGAGAAATGATAGACTTTATAACAAAGGATGTTGGCAAAATTGGAACACCATCTGTGGAAAACTCAATCAAAACCTCACACCGTGTACAAAAACCAGCTCAAGGTGGATCAAGGACCTAGGAGTTAAACCAAGGACTATAAACTTCATCAGAGAAAACTTGGAAGAACTCTAGAAGTCTTAATCCACAGTATGAACAGTTTTCTAAGCATAATGAAAAACCTACCACTAGGAGAGAATAAGAGTATATGAACTGGAACTTCTAAGAATCAAATCCCTATGCACAAGGGTACAAAGGAAAGTCAAGAAAAGAAAAGAAAAAAGATTTGGTGATGAAGTAACTGATAAGGGACTCACTCATGTTTAAAATTCATAGAATACACCAGCACCTCAACAAGAAGAGGTAAATGAACCGATTTCAAATTGGACACAGGATATGAATAGATATTTAGATGGCAAATAAAAAAGTGAAGAAATGCTCAAAATGCCTGGTTACCAGAGAGATGCAAATTAAACAACTATGAGATATCCTCTAACTTCAGCAACAATAGCAAAGTTCAACAGAGCAGCAAACAACAAATCCTGGCAAAGTTGTGGAGAGATTGGAGCCCTTTCTGCTGGTGGGAGTGTAAAATGGTGCAACCATTAGAGAAGGCAGTCTGCTGCTTTCTCAAGAAGTTGGAAATAGAAATACCATTTTACCCTGCAGTTCCACTACTAGGGGTATACCCTACCGCCATGCAAATAGATGTATGCACACCCCTGTTTATTGCTTCAATATTAACATTTACAAGGAAATTGAAGTAACCCAAATGGTCATCAACAAATAAATGGATAGAAAAACTATAGTATATTCACACAATGAAATACTATGCAGCACTGAAAAACAATGAATTAATAAACATTATACAACATGAGTGATGCTGGAGGACATTCTGGTGAGTGAACTATCTCAGTCACAACAGGACAAATACTGCATAACACTGATGAACAGGGCGTTGGAAGAGAAGAAGGAAAGTACTGTTTTAAAAGAATATATACTTAGGCTTTATATGCGTAACAGCCATCGAGAATAAGAGGTATATTTCAAAATGGAGATGGGAGAGGTAAAAGGGATGGGAGAGGTAGGAAATTGTACAACAATGAATCAGTTTTGTGGGTGTTTTTTTAAACGTTAACTGGGGGAGGGTAAAGGGACGAGGAAGGAGAAAATTTTCCAGCACTGAATGAATGAATGAATGAAAATCCAACTTTTCTGTAAACTTTCATTAAAATCACAATTTTAAAAATGTTATTAATATTTAAAAATGAAATAAAAGAAAATGAAAACTTAGAGTTTAAATAAATACAAAGAGTGAATATTTCTACTTTATTTTATAGTCTTTGGTACATAGTTGAAAACAGATAAACAAGCAAACAACACTTTGAGTCAATAAAAACTAAAGCAAATTAAAGTAAAAATTTACCTGAAAATATAAGAAAAATACAACTGAGGGATTCTTACTTGGAAGTTCTGGTGGAGGAGTTGGGACCAAAGTTGGTTCTGGATAAAGACTCACATTGCAAATCCCATTAGTTAGGCCAATGTCATCCAGTGCTATATCACTCAGAATATTGTTTTTAAAAGCATCGAAAGCAATCTGTGAATCAAAGAGATAATAAAATTTTTTTCTTATATCCTAGGAGAGTCTTCTTCATGATTAATATCCAGAGTGAATACTGGATGTCTAAAAAAAGGAAAATGGACCATGGGGTAAAAGGGCCATGAGCATCTCTCTGAAAGGTCAAGAGAGAGTGAAAATAACAAAGCCCTTCCAGACCCCAGAGCAGAAAGCAGATCAGGAATATACATAGCCCAATTCCATCGTGCCTGTAGAGGCCCACTCGCAGCAAAAGGTTTGTTTATTTGGTAGGTAAAGACTAAATCCAGGTTTTAGGCCAACAGTTCCAAGTCTTAATAGTTCCTATTCCTTCTCCTCAGTTAGTCCAGGCTCTGGTTTCAATTCAGCAAGCAATTTTTCCTTCCATCATCAAACACAAGAATAGCAAAAATCCAGCTGTGGGCAGCACAAATGAGAAAAGCGCCAGGTCACACCTTGCCACTGTTTGTTCACAGCAATGCCACAGTCTTTCCACCACTAAGGTCTTACTCTAGTCACAAGACTTACTCTCCTCCAGTATTGTTTCAGGTCTCTTGTGCCTCAAGTCTTGTTGCTCCAAGTCTTGCTGCCCAGTGTGGGAAGCACTTGCTTATTGTAGTCCCACAGCTGATGCTGATTTGCAAAAGTATGCTGATTTGTAAGACCATGTGCCTGCAGTTAAGGTAGCTGGAGAGCAGACAGGGCTAAAGAATGTTTAAAAGAAAGCCAGCTTTTAGTAGCATCCATACTGGATGCCTCTGAATATAGGATGAGAAGTTTTACTGCATAGTAAAATATTGATAGATCTTGCTTTTATAAGGTCTTCCTACTAAACACCATCTCCTTATTATTTGTTTATATGGGCTCAAAGTTTCACTGACATCCTCCATTGAATTAAGCAACAAACATTGTTAGGGCCTCTGTTGTTCTTTCTCTAACCCTTCTTGGTGTGCTATTACCATATTCCACTGGACTATGTCATCCACCCATCATCTTGCAGGTTAAAGACCTCTCACACTTCTTCCTTAACATTAGAATTCCAGGTAATCATTTGCTTCCTAGGAGCAAACAAGCCCAAACAAAAGAGGTGTTGTGAGATACATTAAAGTGGAGAAGGGAAAAGGAATAAGTTATAATTTAGGGCTGGCTAGTATTGGGGTGCTAGTACTGGGATGGGAGACTCATAGACTCAGACTTGAGGAAAAGGTCCACTGATTAGAAAGAATATATCATATATATTAGAAAGAATATATTATAGTCTCAAGAAAAATGGATACATTTTAGAGGAACTTTCATAGGTTCTTTCCTGGGTAGGTGAGAAGAAGCATAAACTAAATATAAATTATGTATTAATTACAGTAACAGGCACTTTGTATATTTTATTTTTTTCAACACTATCTTACAGTCATGGACTCATACATATATTCATTCAATGCTCACACTCTGCCTTGTCAATCAACTAAGAAAAGTTAGTCTAACTATTTTAATAGTAAAGATACCAAGTAAGTTAAAACAAATTTGGTCACCATAATACTTGCTTTACCCCTTCTGGCATCTCTTTCTCCCCCTAGATTTTTCATTCATTTTTTTTTACATGATTAGAAAAAATAAACAAAAATAAAAAAGAAAACTTGAGGAAAAGAAAGTAATATTTAAGGAAGCAGAGGGATTAAAAAAGGGAGGGAGAAAGAAGATGTGCTGCCTTATACAAAGTCATGGGGAGAACTGAAAGTTTTGTAGGTAGCAACATCTGTTCAAATTTGAAACCTCTAAAAGTGAGACTTTCTTCTCTGAAATGACCCAATTAGAACAGTGTTAATTTGGTCAAACTATTATCCTATGTTAATTGCAAACACCCTTAGGAAAGGAACACATTAAGCTGTTATCTGAAAAATTAATTCCCCTTAATGTGAAATAAATGATCAGAGACTTCCTACTGATATAGCTCATAGAATTTGTTTCTATAGGAAATATATGGAGATTAAATGTTGGCAGAGTAGGGGAATACTGATAGATGTACTGATAGAATACTGATAGTGCTAATCATTGAAAGGTATAGAAGAATACACAAAACCTCGCAGAAACCTTATACATAACAATAATAAAAGAAAAATGTCCAGTCCTGTGCTATCTCCACAATGATTGCTATTTTTACTACTGTTGTTGCAACTACTGTGTCAATCCATGTCAACCTCATTGAGAGCTTTCCTCTTCTTCACTGACCATTTACTGATCGTGATGTCTTCGTTCTTTGATCACTTGTAGTCTAAAGTATTATCTTCATTCTTTCTTCCTGTATGCTATTCCTGATGTCAGATAACAGTTCTTGTGGGCTTTGGTCATTAATCATTAGTATATCAAATCTATCCATAAAATGGTTTCCCAATTCAGGAAGGATGTACTCAAGGTTATATTTTGGCTTCTTTGGACTTTGACCTTTTTCAACTTTAGCTTACTCTTACATACTAATGGTCTGCTCTGCAGTTTGCCCTCAGCTCTGTCTGCCGCTAATATTGATCCTTTTAATCATCTCTTTCCACAAATGAAGTAAATTTAGTTTCTGTGTAATTTTTCAGGCAAGATCTATATGTGCAGTTATTGTTTACATTGTTAAATAAAAAGATCTCTAATAAACAAGTTACTAATCTTAAAGACTAACATGAGCTATGTGATATTATTCTTATCATCTAGGCTATATTTTCCAAATGTTCTTCTTTATTCAACTTCTACATTTCTATCACCATTCATAAAAAATTCACCTTTTTAAATATTACAATTCTTAATTACATATGAGATCAATTTATAGAAGATCAGATTATTAGTAGAGAAGAATAGAGTTGGCCATGATGATGTCTACAAAATGTTGGGAGCAGTCTGGCAACACAGGAGATACACTTACTTTATGAAAGACAATTTCTAGAGAAAGATTTAAAGTCCTATAATGTTTTAATTAAATTTTTATGGTACAGAATAAGCAGTTATTTGACATAGTAAATATTTCTTATAATATTTTTCATTTTAAGAAACCAATTAATCAATATATGAAAATATAGAAATTTGGTGAAAAAGGAAATACACTAAGAAACTGAGAAAATAACTGGTCTGTATTATTGCTATTAGGTGCCATTGAATTTACTACAACTCCAAGTGACCCTAAAAGCAACTGATCTTAACTATACATTATCCATTGCCATCTTCACTGTCTCAGCCATGCTTGAACCCATTGTTATTATCACTGTAATTCACTGATGGATCCTTCTCCATTTATTAGCATGATGTCTTTTTTCTAAGGCCTTACCCCTTACGACAACATACTCAAAGTATAAATAGGACAATTCTACTACTTTTGCCTTTAAGTAACACTTTGTTTGTATTTCTTTCAACATAAATTTGTTTATTCTTTCGAAGCCCAAGGCATATTCAATACTCTTCACAACCCCACAGTTCAAAGGCATCAATTCACTTGTCAAACTTTCTAGATGCATGTGAAACAATTGAAAAATTCATATGGAATATGCTGTTTTGTTGTTAGATGTGTCCAAATCATTAATGATTCACAGCAACTCTAAAAACTACAGATATGAACCTTTTCTTCTCTTTTACCATTGTATTCATAACCAACACGCTTAAGTCAATCTCTTCAGTAATTATATCAATCTGTTTTGCTGAGTGACTACTTCTCTTTTACTGACCCTCCACTTTTCCAAGAGTGATTTTTCTTTGCAATGAATAGCCTCTCCTATAAACACGCCCAAAGTACATGGGTAGAAATTTCACCATTCTTGCCTTCAAGCATGACTCTGTTTGCACCATCTCCAAGTCTTATCTGTTTGTTCTTTTCACAAGACATGAGATACTCAATACTCTTAAATACAACTCAAAGACACAATTCTTCTGTCCTCCTTGTTCATTATCTAGCTCTTGGGTACACAGCAGGAGACTAGAAAAACCATGGCTTGAATCAAGCACACTTTAGTCTTTAAACTGATATTATTCCTCTTCAGAACTTCGGAGACTTTTCTAATGAAAAAAGTCATCATATCTCCTGACTACTGGTACTAGTAGTGTTGATTGTAGATTCAAGTAAGATGAAATAGTTGATAATTTCAATCTTTATTATAATGTTGCCAACTGGCCCTGTGATGAGGATTTCTGTTTTCTTGATGTTAAGATGTAATCCATATTAAAGGCTGTAATCTCTGATCTTCTATAGCACATACCTCAAGTCCTCTACACTTTCAATAAGCAAGGTTGTGTTGCTTGCATAATGCAGGTTGTTGAGGAGTCTTCCTCTCATTTTGATGCCATATTATTAAGAGAGCCCAGCTTCTCAAATGATTTTCTCAGTTTACAGGCTGAATAGGTAAGAAGCCATATATAGCCTTGATGAAGACCTTTCTTGGTTTTAAAACACACAGTGTCCCCTTGTTCTGTTTGATCAACAGCTTCTTGTTCTAGGTATAGATTTCATATAAACCTAATTAAGTGTTCTGGAATTCTCATTCTTCTCAATGATAGCCATAGTGTGTTATGGCTCACACAGTCAAATGGCTTTGCATAGTCAATAAAACAAAAATACATTCTTCTGGTATTTTCTGCTTTCACCCAGAATCTATCTGACATTAGCATCGATATCCCTGATGCCTTTTCTAAACACATCTTGAACTGCTTACACTTCTCTATCAATGAACTTTTTTAGATGTTTTTGGATAATTTTTCGCAATATTTTACTTCTTGTTGTTCTTGTGTACTATCGAGCCAGAACCAGTGCATAGCTGATCCTACAGCAGGTTTTCAGAAGCAGTTTAATCACATAGGAGGAGATTGCCCATCTTTCCTCCATGAAGAAGCTGTTGGATTTGAACTACTTGTCATTGGGATTGCAGTGCAGCTCTTTAACAGTAGGCCACCAGAGCTCCCTAGTTTGCTTGAATGCATTTTGGATCATTGAGGCTATGCATTCCCTTCACCTTATTTTTTGAAAATTATATTAATTTGCA